ACGCGATATTATACAAAATAGATGCGACAGATTTCACAAATTAAAAAATTAGGACAAACTATTCTGATTTTAATCGACTGTTTCATTTTTGTTTCATCGTTTTTCATACTTTGCGTAATTTTCGTGCACTTGACACAACAAACAAAAAAAAATAAATAAATAAATAAAGATGCAATGGTTTAAAATAGGCTTGAAAGCATTGGTGTTTTATGTATATGGATAGACAGATCTCAAGACTCTGAGGAAATTGTCACCTACTTTAGCGAAATTAAAATTCTTTTAATAATGTATCAAAATAAAGATTCTCCCGAGGATATCTCTCCCCGAATAAGAGTAAACAAGAGCACAATGTGTAAATATATACGCAAATTTAGAATCATTGATAACAGAAAAAGTGTTGTCAACTAACTTGTAGCGTATTCTTCATTATGTATATACAAAATCATTTATTACTAGGCCTATATATTACTTTATTAAGAATTCGTATTAGAATATATAATTTTTAAACATCGTAGCATTAAAATGTAGCTTATAACAAAGGAGACCTACGATGTCAGAGAAAGCGAGACAATCGAACTAAAATCAGAATTAACATTACTGAAATCACGATAATAGTTATTGAAAAGTTTTCTTTGATTTGTAAAATATATCGTCTCTTCTGCATAATGTGTTTCCAGAAAGGTTTTGACTAAATCGCGAAAACTTTTCATTGTTACACTTCGTTCCCGAACTTTTAATCGTCAAACGTAAAATATTTGTATGAAGAATTAGTTGGAAAGATCATATTTTTGTAATGCGCATTTTCTTTCGTGAAATCATTTCGTTAAATGCTACAACGGGAGTGTAAAACATCTTAAATTCTTAATTTTTAATATACATGTAACCCTTTTAAATATTAAACTAGAAAAAGGAAAGATTTCGATTATAAATTCTTATTTTTAAACTAAGCAATAAACATACGTAAAGAAAATTTACTTAAAAGGAGAAGAAATATAAATATATATATCTCTATATATATTAATATATTCTAGCTTTCTGCCAGGTGAATACGTTAATAATACATTAACAGAATTCAACTTCAAAATCTTGCAACAGTCCACTTCTCCTGTACACAAACCGCTACATGTTCAGATAATTCTGTTATGTCGAATGACTTTCTCCGTTGCTGTTAGTGGCTACATTTGTGCAGACATTGGCCCATTAAGTCTAAACCCATGCTAGATTGTAACAACGTTAAACCAGAAATTTCTGTTTAAATAAATTTGCATTCGTTGCTTTACGCAATCTAAAGGAATTCATAAATAAATGAACTGACGAATTGAAGTGCAGTTTGATACTAACTCCACTTTATAAATATTAAGGCTATTTAGAATTTGATAAAGTTTATATAAATATTAAATATTGATTACTTTCTATATATTTCTGCTGAAAAGTTTTCGAAGCGATTCTCTTTCTCTGAATATTATAAATTTTAAATAATTTGAAATATGTATAAATAAGAATTTTCGCTTGTTTTGAATTAATTTCCTATCATAATTTTTAAATCTATATAAGATGTAGAAAATATTCAACTTTCCCTATTTAATTCTTACCCTATAGGCTATAAAATTTAATTATTTTACTATCTTATTTGTAAGGTAAACAATGATATATAATGCCCCTTCTAGCTGTTAATTATAGTGTAAATTTTTAAATAACTCACATGATCATTGCTGCCTATAGGCTACGGAAACAATGTCGTCATCTCTAGGCATTTCTTAGATAATTTCTGCAATAAATTTTAATATTAAAAATAGCTTATGGACATCGTAAACTTATTATTATAGTTATAAATTTCTTTTTGTCTATTTATGTCTATATAANATGATCATTGCTGCCTATAGGCTACGGAAACAATGTCGTCATCTCTAGGCATTTCTTAGATAATTTCTGCAATAAATTTTAATATTAAAAATAGCTTATGGACATCGTAAACTTATTATTATAGTTATAAATTTCTTTTTGTCTATTTATGTCTATATAAAACGAGATTTTTTAATGCCTATAGGCGTAATATAATTATTATCTACGCTGAATCACATTGTCGGAGATTTAATATTAAAATTTTGAACATGCTAAAGGGTTTAGTCTTATTATTATTACTTTTTTTTTTTAAATGTTAGTTTATAGATTAATTATAATAGTTGATGTGTTAATATCTTCAAATATGTCATTAATGGATAGCAAAACTTGTTTTATAGCGCTTTAAATGCGTTGATTAAATTAAGAGAAGCGTTTGGTACAGATATAATTAACTTGTTTAATTAAAACAAAACTAAATTCTTCTATTTAATTCTTCTAAACCACTCAAATTTTAAGTTAAAAAGCATATAAAGTTATCAACCCGAGCTAACTTTAAGCATTGATAGATGTGACTACATGATAAAGAATTAAGTAAATTTAAATAGGAATAACTAATTTAAAGCATTCATATTTTTTAAATTATAGAATATGTTTTAAAATTCTAAAAAATTAAATATTATTTAATTAAATTCGTTACGTTATGTGTGTTAAATGTTGATAAAATGGAAAGCCGTCACGTCAAAGGGTGCTTCTCCGATTTTATAATTCCGAGTTGTTATAGTAATATCTGTTGGGAAAAAATTTTGTTTTATATATATATATTTTTATTTTACTCTTTTAAACATAAATTCAAGTATGGAAGTAGCAATAAAAATATATTTGTCACAATTTACAGTTGGCAAGGTGATTCTTACCCAACTACTTTCATGTTGCCGGCAGTATAGATACTAACAGAGAAGTCTAACCTAGGAAACCTTTCCGATTCTCCAATCCCCGTGGGTCCTACTCGGGTAAAAGCCTATAGGTCACGCTCTGTCTGCGTCATGTCGTCACGAATTAGGATTCGTTCGTTTTCCTCACAGAGCGGTGCGTTCTAACACGTTTGTCAATCTAGTCACGGTTTAGTTCCATAATAACTGCGACTGTGTATCCCTCTGGGATTGAGATTAAGTGGACGAAAGGCTGTTGATGCTTGGATTCACAAAATGGCGTCTCTAGTAGAGAATCTTTACGCCTCGCTTATTCTCCTATCCAACACTCAATTCGATTTTTATAGAAAGCTTTCCCTTGATAAGGGGTTTATTCCGGAACCTTTTTTTTTTTTTAATACTTTAACGGGGATAGAATCGAAGAAAGCTTTTTAAATATATAGTCCCCTATATATTAAAATACCCTATTTTTTATTATGCTAATCGCTTGTATAAGGATGCAGAAATCATCATCGCAGAAGCGATCCAAAATAGCATCGGAACTGTAAACAGGGTTTTATATAAACACTACTTCGAATTAAATTCTACATTTTAAGTAGATAAACGTGTTAAAGTATTTTAATGCTGGCCTTCTACACGTCTCGATCGAATAATGCGATTTCTTAATTATTTTAGCAGATTGATTTAAGTTTGTTTTCGAACATTATGTTGCATCCCGTTGTGTTCTCATGACCGAACACATGTGTGAAATGTGTTTCTCGCTCTGTCAAACACTACACATTAAGCACTAGATTGGATAATCACTGCGCAAATCACATGTAATGACATTTACTTCCACAAATCGCTAGCAATCATTTCCGCCAACTTTTAGGTTTCAGTAATAATTATAATGGACTCAATACATTAGTTAGTCGATACTGCTGTTAATTAACTAAGCTAATTGATTTTATAGAAGAGAGTTTCCTACTTTCTAGGTTAAATCGATTCCTATCGCGATTACATTACTGTTTTTGTTTTCTTCTTCTTCTTCTTCTTCTTCTTTCTTTCTTCTTTTTTTTACATCTTTTAAAGACACGAAACGGATGTTTAATCGTGTAGAAAATTATAAAACGAATCTTAGAAAGGTACGGAATTTGAATTCGTTTATTTTAGACTATTATTTATATATTTAAAATTATTATAAATAAGGTAAACACGGCTTAAAATCTATTGATTACGTTATATTTCAGCGTCAAAAACGACGAGTTTAATATAAATTTTACTTTCAGATTTTTTACAGACAAGGTTTTAACTGTAAAGAAACTTTATTTAAAGGTGTTAAAACTTGAAAATAATAATAATAATAATATGATTTTTAAAGTTTAAAAGTAAATAAGTTGCATTTCTTATGATAAAACTCGATAATTATGCATAGACCTACTAAAAAGAGATTTATGGAAACTATCATTTTATTCAAAGCCAGATTTATATACATAACCGAATTAAGCTAAAGTTTAGGGCCTTACTGTTTTAAATTTATTATTATTTGAGAGAGAGAAAAGGGCCTCTTATATGTTATAGCTTCATAAGTCCATAACAAGTCTAAATCCGGCCTTAATCTTATTTTTATGAATTCTTCACGGATTTATGGATTTAAAAAGTATTAAAACGCAGAAAACAATCCACCTACAGTAATTCTGTCTTTTTATTTACTGTACAAAGACAAACATTTTTTTTTTTTGTTAACATGAATTGTTTACCTTTCTGATCATTACAACATGCGTTTACATAATTTCAGATCAACCAGTTACAAAATGTACAAAATCAAATTTAAAAAATTAAATCAGGCAAATAAAAATGAAACATTTTCAGCCTAATTTAAAAAAAAATATATTGCATAATTATTAAAATCACGATGCATTAATAATAAAAATTATGTAATTTTTTATTTTATTTTACTGTATATTTATATATGTATATATATTTATATATAGGAGAAAAATGGCGATATATCTCTATATATATTAATATATTCTAGCTTTCTGCCAGGTGAATACGTTAATAATACATTAACAGAATTCAACTTCAAAATCTTGCAACAGTCCACTTCTCCTGTACACAAACCGCTACATGTTCAGATAATTCTGTTATGTCGAATGACTTTCTCCGTTGCTGTTAGTGGCTACATTTGTGCAGACATTGGCCCATTAAGNTTATTATTTTTTTTTAAATGATAAAAATTTTCAACACGACAAAAATGAAACATTTAAAGGATGTTCTTCATTTATAAATCTTTTTAATTTTTTTTTTTTTAACATCGATTTTCTCTCGGATAAAACGACGAAGACGAAGTTGTTGTAGTCGTCGAAGGTAGTGGGTTAAATGTAGGCGAAGACGGCGATAATCCTGAAACGTTATGGGCATTGGCCGTTAATGCGTTTAAGGATAATCCTAATCCAGGATAAACACGATAGGGCATTGGTTTTTGCATGGCCGCAGCAGCTTGACGATAATACGTATCGTATCCGGAGAGATTTGAATAAGAAGTGGGTGCGGTTAACCCGGTGGCGCATTGGCTTAACCAGTATGGACTCGTTTGGAACATCCTTTGAACAGCAGCGAAGTTACCGGCTTCTGCTAGTAATTCCAGTCCTACAGCGGTCTGCCTTTTCCATTTTGTCCTAGAAAGATAATTACAGGCGGTCAGATAAACACAGTGATTAAATAATTGAGTTTAAAATTTGTTAAAATTGCAATTTGCTCCGATTTGACTAATTATCAATCAATTAAGTGAAGATTTTTTTTAAAAATTTAATTGAATTTCGGTGATAATTTCTAACTTTTGAAGCCAAAATTTAGCCTTATTTAAGTTCGAATTATTCCTGATAAGCTCTTGTAAATTAGTTTCAATGTCTTGCCTATTCGTTAATTAGGCTATAATGTGGTTTTATGTGAGAAAAATTAGTGACTCTTTTGCATTTCATCACATCTTAATGATTAGTTAGCTATTTTTATAGAGTCAAATCGCATTCTACGGATGATTTAGGCCTACGTTACTAAGAGCTTAATTTACTTCAATATCTAAATAATTTAATTACAGTTTAAATTATTCTGCGATTAGAATATGTAAATGTTAAGTAAATATTTCCACAAACAAGAATGGAAGAAGATATCGAACTTAAGTAATCCTAAAAAGTACAGAACATTGTCCATAATATAGAAAATGCGATTCAACAAAAGCATTTTACTAGGCTATTTCATTTAATATCATTTGCTAGTATTTGATTATATTTTATTTATTTTAATCTTATTAGACAATTCATTTTTACTAAATAAATCAAATTAGCAAAAACTGTCCAGGCCTACAATCTTCATTTGTATCATTTCGAACGTTCTTCCTTAATTTTACTCCATATCTCTTCAAATTCGCTTATTTTTTTTGGAAATTCTGTCCATAAATCAAATTAATTTATGTTCTTTAAGGCGATTTAGGCAATAAACAAGATTTTAATTTGTTAAAATGTATTTAAAACAGAATTCAAACTTATTAGAAAATTTAGTAAAAGTGCAGCGTAGATATTAAATATTAAAAGTGAAATACGTGTGTGTATCTGCTGTATAAATTCCAACTGTTCTACGTAAATAGCGTAATAATGTATATATGTATGCATCTATTATTCATACGACTGTTTGGATGGAAACAAGAGTTAGTACAGAAACCATTATTAGCTATATTTATATATGTTATGTTAAATGTGCGTGTTTGATGGTGCATTTAGAGCTAAACGAACAGATAGGGATAATCTCCGCGCACAACAACCTCATCTTTAAATACATAAAACTCATATTTTAACAAACAAACGAAAAATTAAACATGGATGAATGCGTTTCAAGATGCACTAACTAAATTAAAATCTTTGAAGTTTTGACATTTTCCTCTTATCTTACCATTAAAGTTAAATGTAAGTGACTTGTAAGTATGCCTTGCCGCATAAATTTCGCCCATAGCAATTCTAGTTTGAAGGACTACATTTAGGATAGACAAGCGCGTGTTTAAACTCATAAATTTCCGAGAAAAATTTGATTTTTAACAATTTAATCCCCTCATAAAATTGATGTATAACAGCAATATTTAATAAAGAAGTCCATACAGATTTATAGGCAAGGTGCCCCGGGTGAATAGGAAACACGAAGTTATACAACATCGCATATCCGCTAACGGCAATGATTATAGAGGAACTTATAAAAGAGATATATTAGGCCGTAGAATCTTTACATGAAAAAAATCAATCTTCTTCAGATACAACCGCATTTATAGATCACGAATATATAATAATTTAAATTATTCTTCTGTATAAATTACTTAAAAACAAAGGTGTAGATTCACTTACCGTCTATTCTGATACCATGTCTTGACTTGAGTATCGGTAAGATTGAGTTTGGCCGCTAATTCCATCCTATCTTGTACACTCAAATATTTTTGTCGTTCGAAACTCTTTTCCAGTGTCTGTAGTTGATGATCTGTAAAAGCAGTTCTGGCCTTTCTCTGTTTTTTAACTTTTAACTCGCACCTATCTTCGTAATCATCTCTGTTCCTGTCCAAATGGTGTAGGTTTTCATCTACATTTAAAAGGAGACAGAAGAGAAAAAATAGATAAATAAATAAATAATAAATAGATTTAAAATAAACTTCAGCACCGTCGCGTGTTACAGGTAATTGCACGCTAGAAATTAAATTCGGAAGCTACACAAATGGTGTAATTTCAATCGTTTTATTACAAGCGACGGACACACTTTACCAAATCAGATTGAATGAGAGAATAAAGAGCGTTTAATGCACAGTTCCACGCAAGGGTTCCCCAGTGGTTGGCGCTATATGACATCGACAAGTGGATAGAGGGTCTACTTAATAAATAAGAGGTATTTAAGAAGAACGACAACACATGTCTATGAATAAGTCATGCGGCCAGGAATAAAGTCCAGGTATTCCATGACTTGTATGCACGCAATGGGGGATAAGGCATGTCCCATGACCAATTACAGTGATTGCACCATCTACTTTGTGTTTAAATCTTTATTAAATTGTATTCTTTTAAGGACGGCAGCCTAATAGCCAACTATAATTTGATATTATGCTCTGAAAGCTTTCGAAATTGAATAATGAGAAGAAGTTATTTAAAACTGTTGAAATGATCTTATTATACCTATCATAAACAAAATCATATGAGATAAAATTAGAATTTTTGTTAAAAAAAGAAAACTATTTTTTCGATCAGAACTTTTAACGTTTTAAAAATGTGTAAAGCTGATAATGTTAATATTACCTTATTTGAAATTATTCCTTTTATTTTACGCAATTATAAGCACTTTTTAGTACTTTCTCATCGCTTGATACTAATGCCAAGTGATTAATCTATGCTTATTTTTAATAATAAAATAAATATAAATCTAGAATAATTCACAAATTAAAATTATTTGATACTCAAGAAAACATATATATATATAATTTTATATTAGATAATTTTTTTAAAAACTTTCTTTTGTCGGCATTTTGATATCTCATTTCAAATTATCAGATTTCAAAGTTTGTAGCTACTGCTACAATTACATCTTCACAAAAAGTTGTTGAAAGCTAGTTTAAGGTATCTTTAAACATATTTTTAAGGCCTAATATTTTGTTTTTTAAATATTCTTATCATAAATATGCTGCTAAAGATCAAAATTTAGTAACCTATAGATTATATTAAATATCAGCCGCAGAATAAGAACAAAAGAGGATAAAGAAAGTAAAATTCCTCAAAATTCAAGAAAAATAATCAATTTGAAAGAGAAGATATTTATTTTTTTAAAGCATTTTGACTTTAGTAAAAAAAAAAACGAGGTCATTGGTACAGTTATCTTTACCATTAAAACCAGAAAAAATAATAAAATAAAATAATTTAATCAATTTAAAATATCCTGAAAAGCTTAAGATTTATTTTTAAACTAGTTCTGATCATTAATATATTCTTGAAATTTGGCATTAATGTTATGTTCCAAATCAATTTTACGCTTTGATACAGACCAAGAATGGTTCTTTATAACATTATTAATTTGGAATTACATAAAATTTAATAAAAAAAAGTAATTATCTTGACAGTTTGAGAACGTTTTTAATCGTTTAAATTTATAAAAAATTAAGTTTTTGTGTAAGTTTTTCTGCTGGAAAGAAATGATTCTAATGGGTGATTGATGATATCAACAGTGTAATACATTTAGATCGAATCTATAGGAAACAAACCGTTAATGCCAAAACATTTGAATGTAATTTTTGCCTTTAACGAAACGTATAATTAGAAGTATTTATCGTTGACCTAATTCAATGATTTATTTCCAACTACTGAACATCGTTTTTTAACGATATCATACTAATTTTAAATACTTTAATTGGTTATTCATTCGACTGTAGAGGCATTAAAGAACGTTTTCCCTTTAATTAAAAGTGTTATTAACTGAAGACCTAATATTTTTCATCATTCCTCCGCTATTTTTAATCATCGTCATCTGCGTATTTAACTTTAGACAAACGCCGAAAAGGCCTAAATATCGAGGTCAAATATATAATTTTGTTTTTTCTCTTAGTTTATTAAATTAATTAAATTAATTTAAGTTCGATTGTAGGTCCTAATAACCGTTAATATGCGTTAAAATGTGACTTTTCGTTTAAAACATGCTATCACTCTTCCTATTGGTCGATGGAAACTAACGCACTCAATAGTAACTAATCGGTGATCCCGTCGTATTAACTTCGATTTTATAGCAATTTTAGGATTTTAAAAACGTTTAATAAAATAATTAGTAAATTATTTCATTGTTTGATAATAATTTAATAAAGAAATATATTTAATTTATTTAATCTTACTCAAAATAATGTTATCATCGTAATAAATGGAACGCGGAGATTCATTTTACGTCATCAATTATTTTAAAAGTCAATTGGCTGTTAAAAACTCAAATTTTGAAATTCAAACGTACGAATCCGATTGGATAAGATTACTTAAAATGAAAGCGTTTTATTGGTTCGAAATAAATTTAAATGAAGGAAACTTTTAAATAAAGAAACTTTATTGGTTAGCACAATTTTTAAATTTGCATCAAATCAAATGTATTAATAAATATGTTATGCTCTCAAAATAAGCTAGATAGAACTAACCTAAATTCGTGATATGTTAAATAAAGAGCAATTGTAGTTATTTAAATTTTTAACTTGTCATTTTAACTTTTAAGAAAACATATGCGTGTATATATATATAATTATAGATTTATCATATCAATGCGCCCATAGGCCTATAATAATAAAATTTTCAATAAAAAAAGTAGAATTTGTCGTATAAAAAAAAAACGTATATAACAATTACCACCTGTCATTATTCATAACTTAATATGAAGGAAAAACCTTGAATTGTCAGCATGAATGTAAAACGATCAAACGTATTATGATAAATTTAGAATCTATGTAAAATGTTTATGTAGTCTTCAAATTGAAACACGTAGTCACCGTTCAAGTTTTAAAAGTGATAATTATAATTATGACTTGTCATAAATTGATACAAGGATATCCTTGAATTGTCAACAGGTAAATTGATCATTTGAAAATATGGATAATAGGAAAAAATTTATTATCATAATTATTACTATTACATAATCTATCGATATAAACATTTTTAAGACCTTGGGGAAAAAAATTGATTTTAATTTTGTTTTGTGCTCTTTCCCGAAAAATTATGTGTCATCATTATGTGTTATTTAACCTCTAATTGATCGCGTGATTATGTTTAATGACTGTTTAATTTAGTATATCGATAATTTTTAATGATTGGGTTTAATTCAATTTATTAATCATAATTATTATTATGGCATAATCTATCAATACGAATATTTTTTAAGGCTTGAAATTTAGAATATGAAGAAATAATTAATTTCTAATGCTCTCTGCTTGTGTTTTCACGTGTTCTTTCTCTAAAATTCTTTAAGTGATATTGCCACCGTTATATTTAGCCTATTTAATGTTTAATTGATCGCTTGATTATGTTTGATGACTGTTTAATTAATTTAGTTTGTTGATAATTTTTAATGATTAGGTTTAGTTAAACTTGTTGATCATCATCATTATTATAATTATTAAATAAACTACCGATGTAAACATTTTTTTAATATTTAAACTTGAAATTTACACCTTGATAAAATTGATTTTAATGTTTGTTGCTTGTATTATTAGGCTATATAATATTTTTATATGATCTTATTACATAATTCTTCTATAATTAATTTATACGTAGGTTTCGATTTAATTGATTGCGTGATCGATTCGATCACTGTTTAATTTAGTTATTGATCATACTCAATAATTAGAGTTAATTAAACCTGTTATATATAGTTACATAATGTTTAATCATTTTTTTTTACTTATTTTCTGTTGAAGCATGCTTATCCTGTAGTTATTGAAATGATAACGAATTGCATGACAATTTAAAAAAAATCACTGGTTTTCTGATTTTTTTAATCAAAATTATGGCGATTTCCGAATGTTATCGCTTTATATCGATCACGCCTTTCGACCGACATTCACCAAATTATATAATATCTGCGACGTTGTTATTCATGCGATTCGAGCTTTCATCACATGACAAAACCCTCTTAATAACGCACGATCCTCAAGAGCGATCGTCGATGTGGAGAATCACGTGAGTTTCTCGAAAATTTTTCACCATTAAAATTCCACTCACTCGACAATCGTTTCGCCAAACTCACGTGTCTATTGGAATCGTATTATAAAAGCTCTTTCGATCGAGCCAAAAGGGCAGTTTTTTCCTCTTTTATGATCTTAAATGCTAAGATGGATCCATAAACTAAAGAAAGAACGAGTGAAAAAAAATACAAGGCAATAAGAATTTGTAATATCAAAGATCAGTTATTTATTATTATTATTATTTTTGGGGGGGAAATAAAAATAATGTAAAGTTTCTTTAGAATTTTTAAAATTTAATTTATAAGTTATAATATTAAAAAATTAAGAGTTCTCTAATTAGAATTAGAATACTTTCTTTAATATATTCGTTGTAGGAAAGTTGTAGAAGGTAGATGTCTTATTTATCCTATTAAAAAAATAAGAAAGAATTTACTTTAAAAACTGTTTTTCAAACAACAATCACTTGGAAACCTCTCAAAATTCCAGTACTAAATTAAACTTGACCTCATACAATGCAATCAAGCGAAACACAAACTAAAATCATCCAAAAATCCACCCAGACATTCCCACACCCACCATCAACCCTTTAACAGGATAAAAATACCACCTTCTATTGTTAAAAGCGGCATTTTTATTTTTATTTAAAAAAAAAAAAAAACATTATATGATGCAAACACGATTAGACAGATCAGATACAGTAGAAAGGTAATAGACTACATCAATTGCCACCGAATTGCAAGAAGTTCACCTGCCTTCAAGGGCGAACCAAATATTCATCACTGTTATAATTTCACAGTTAGATTTACACTCCCGACCTATAATCCTATTCGGCAAAGATAGAGGAGCTTAAAAAAAAAGAATTAAAAAAAATTGAAGAAGTAGAATCCTTCCA